CGCTTCTAATATGCCAGGCTTTGTGTAAACAGGCTTTATGACACAAGTGGGCTGATTACAGTGCAAATGGAGTGTGACATCTGAGTCACTGTGAGGCTCTAGCTGGCTTCTTCCAGCCCTGGCCATAGGGTCCCCTGTGACTGTAACCTACACAAGCAGAGCTTGGGCATGCTGGATTTGCAGAAATAACCTTAGGCAGGTATTGAATTATTGGATGATATTTTCCCCTGCATTATGTGAAAATATGAATCTTGGTCCACAAATGTACTTGTTCAAGAATTATATTTTCCACAGTGCCATCATTTCTGACTCTGCAACTCCTTTGGTCCCTAATTGAGATTTCCATTGCATTTCTGACCTCTGAGACTTAAGTGGTGATAAGGCATAGAGAGGAAAAGAATATCTGGTCCTTAGTCATAGGTTCAGAGAGGTAATCGCTGAAACATCCACTGTGCTTGTCCATGTGGCCCTGTTCAGATTTAGTGGCTATCTCAAAGTGCAGTTCTTTGAAAACTAAACTCTGTTATGATAAGCCATTGACATTTTAGGGTTTTTATTTATTTATTTATTTATTTAATTTATTTATTTTACCACGGAATGACAAACTCTCCTGACTAGAAAAGGTGGGATAAGTACATTTCCTCCCACCCGAAAGTAGTAAATAGCGCCACCATTAACCTAATTGTGTTAAACTGAGTGAGACCCATGAAAACTGCCACAGCCTGACCTGTACCCCAGCAAGATGAATCAAGAAGAATCTCTCTTTCCTCTTCTGTTTTCTGTCTTCCTTTCCCCATGTCCCATCAAGTCTGTTCTAGTTACTGGCTGGTGGGTCTGTACTATGCAATGTACTGGGTTCCAGGACTATTGCTGTAGGAGTTGATTTATTTGAGTTTTCAAAGTTCTATGTGGATGGGACTGTTAATATGACATTTTTGTATATCCTACTGAATCTTTAAAAAAGTGAGAGATGCAAGAAATTTTGGGTTGGGTCAATGTGCTTAAGGATGACTCCCATTCTTATGACAGCCTAGGCAGCAGCTTCTTGAGGAAACCCAGGCATCTGATTGAGATAATTTTAACTAAAACAGGGCAGGTCAAGAAATTAGGGAGAGCAGAATTCTGGATTTAAATTATGTAGGCTTTTCATCAGGTGATTTCATACTTGGGCTTTTATTTCTCCCTGGGAGTTGAATCACTGGAGGAGGTTTTGTTAGTATATGGAAATTTTTGTATTATTGACACTTTCTATTTGGAGTATTTTAAGCTATTATTGGGGCTCATTGCAAAACAGTGTCTTTCAAACTTTTTTCTTAAATTAGGACATGCATTATATATCATGGCAGAAGCACCATTTTTACAAAAAAAAACACACATCTCACAGCCTGGGCAACATAGGGAGACCCTGTCACAACGAAATAAATAAATAAATAAAAAGATTAGCTAGGCATAGTGGTGCATGCCTCTGGTCATGGCTACTCAGGAGGTTAAGGTGGGAGGATTACTTCAGCCTGGGAGTTCAAGGTGCAGTGAGCCATGATGGCACCACTGCATTCCAGCTTGGGCAACAGGGTAAGACCCTGTCTCAAAAAAACCAAAAACAAAAAACATCTCAGCTGGAGTTCTGAAAGCAGAGGCTGGGACACAGCCTTGTGTGCAGGCAGTTTACTGGGAAAGTGACCACAGAGAGCAGGGCAAAGTAGCAGAGGGTACAAAACACAGCAGACAGACAAGCACGTGGGCTGAGTCCACCACCATCGTGGCAACTGCAGCTCAATCCCACGAGACCTTCTGAGGAGCTCATGGAATGCAGCGCAGAACTGTCTCCTTGGGGCTGAAAGGCAGATGTGTATATCCACTGACACTTGTCCCAGGTTGGGCTCCAGGCTGGTCCCATGGGTGTTAACCCCTCTCCTTCCAGAGTGTACTATAAGGGGTACCTACGTGGATTTGGTTAAATTCGCATGAACTGTTTGGGGCATCAGTGGCTGGAGTAAGAGGTGAACAGAGAGGGTCTGAAGTGGTTGCAAGAGATGTTCAGTCAAAATATTTACCCTTACCGAGTGCAATGCACTGACATATTCTACTCTAGTTCATCACACACACACTAGTGGAGGCCCACTAACCAGGGGCCTATGAGGTCAAAACTATTTTCCTACTACTGCTGAGATGTTTTTGTCTTTTTCATCCTTGTTCTCTCATGAGTATACAGCGGAGCTTTCCAGAGGCTTTGTAACAGGCACTAATGTCACAGACTGAATGCACACGCAGGTATGAGAACCGGCTGTGTTCCATGAAGCCAGACATTAAAGAGACTTGCAGAAATGTAAAACAATTCTACTTATCTCACTGAAGTTTTTTGTTTTACAAAATATAATTATTTCTCACAAATATGTTTATGCTAAATTTGTCTTTTTAGAATCAGCTTAGTATTACAACAATGATTTGGGCGAAATGTTTCTGTAACAGAAATTTTGTTTCTAATTATGTGATATGAATTAATTTTATAACTAAAAGGTAATGATTTATTATTTATAAACAATTACTTAAAAATTGTCTATTTTAATTTTAAAATATATCTATATACACAAAAGGTCTTTGGGGCTCTCATTCTTTACAAGAATAAAGGGGTCCTAAGATTTTTTAAAAAGGTAGAGAATTGCTGCACTAAACTGATCACGACCCTCAAAAACTCTGCTGCCCGTAGTTTGCAAAACACTGGTGTTCCTTTCATGACCTGTGAGGACAGAGTGGTTGGAAACCAGAAAGAAAAGTTAATTTCAGGCTTAATGTGCAGTAAAACACTAGAGTCCATGAAGGTTCTATTCTGACCCATTTCAAACCCGTCTCAGGTCCATCACCGGTCCTAGGGGAAGACAAGGGAATACCGCTGACATGAGCAGGAGTCTCACAAAGATGGGAGGGAACTGCTCGGATAACTGCTGGCTTTCTCTTTCAAAGCTTACAGCTACTGCCCTGCTTGACCAAAACTCAGTTAAGTCTAGTCATATAAGGGAGTCCAATCATGTAAGGGAGTCATTCTCGACCCTGGCTGCATATTGGAAGCATCTGGGAGATGTTAAAAAATTACCCCGATGGGCTCTACTCCAGACCAATGAATCAACATTTTCTGGAGGTGGGCATTGGTACTGGTACTGTTTTTCCCCCCCTTTTTATTGAGGTGTAATTTGCATCAGAAGCAGAAATCTTAATAATTTAATGATTTTTTAAAAACATGTATTACCTACATGTAACCATAACCACCACCCAGATCAAGAGGTAGGGCATTTTCAATTCACCAGCAGGCTCCTTCATGCCTCCTCCCAGTTAATACTCTTCTCCAAAGGTAACCATTATTCTAATATTTGCCACCATAGATTAGTTTTTGCTGATTTTGAACTTCAAATAAAGGGAATCACACAGTAGTTTATTCTTTTGTGTCTGGCTTTTTTTGCCCAATGTTATGGCCATATTAATTCATATTATTAGGTAGCGAAGTAATGCATTCTTGTTTGCACGGCTGTGTAGTGTTCCACTGTAGAAACAGACCATGATTTATTTACCATTCTATACTTGCTGGATTTGGCTGGTTCCCTTACATTGCTTTTCTTTTTTTTGAGATGGTTGCCAAGGCTGGAGTGCAGTGACACCATCTCGGGTCACTGCAACCTCTGCCTCCCAGGCTCAAGCAATTCTCCTGCCTCAGCCTCCTGAGTACCTGGGATTACAGACGCCTGCCAACACGCCTAATTTTTGTATTTTTAGTAGAGTTGGGGTTTTGCCATGTTGGCCAGGCTGGTCTCCAATACCTGACCTCAGGTGATCCACCTGCCTCAACCTCCCAAAGTGCTGGGATTACAAGCGTGAACCACCACGTCCAGTCCCCTCATACTGCTCTTAAGTGTGGTGACATGCTCTCACCATAATAAAACAGGAACTGAGACAAACTAGGGAACAGGAAAAGTAGATTCATGTTATCTATCTCATGCTTACTGGGTAAGGATATGGTTATTGTCCCCTTCGCAGCTCCTTCTCTGAATCTATTCTCCATTCACCAGTCAGAATGACTTAAAAAACAGAAATCAGGCCATGTCACTCCTTTTCTTCAAGACTCCCAACAGCTTGATCCCAAAGTGCCTCAAACTCACCACACTTACACTTAAGTCCACACTTCCTACACTGACCTACAAAGCCTTTCACAATCTGAGCCCGGTCTCTCCAGGCTAACCTGGGACCACATTCTCTCTTGTTTGGTATGCTCTAAGGCCAATGCCAGTCTTCTCTCTGTTCTTAGGACACACTGAGCTCCTTCCCACCTTATGGTCTTTGCCTCACCTGCTTTATACTTAGATCCCAACAGCCTCTCTCTGAGAGGCCTTCCTTGACCATCCAATGTGAACTAGTCATCCCTTTGCATTCTAGAATACATTATCTTAATTCTCTGCATAGCACTCATCAAATTACATTTCCTTATTTATTTGCTTAGTCACCTCACCATGTCTCTAAAAATGTAAGCTCTTTGAGAAAGAATCTTACCATTACTTCATCACCAGTGCCTAGAAAAATACCTGGTACACACTGAGTACTCAACAAATATTTCTGTCTTGGACATAAATCTGATGGCACAAGTACTAAATGTACCCTCCCCCAAAACTAAGGATTTGAATTCTGGGCCCCTCAGGATAAACAGGAGGAAGGACACCATTGCCCTTTGCAAATTACAATATAAATGCCTCTCTGGAAGAACTTCTTGATTATACTGACACTGATTTTTTTTTAAAGTCTGCTATATGGTAATGCAATATTGGATTTATTCTGTTCATTAACAATTAATACTTCAGAACATTTACAATATTCATTGAATATAATCTAAGAGAAGGTCAACTGACATTTTCTACTTCTCTATTAATAAGAGAGATGGTCAAATTAATTTATGGCCAAAATTATAATGGCAAAAACTGATAAATAAATACGTGCTTGGTGTTAGTATGGTTACATACAGTTCAGTTTTTGGTGTAAAGTTCTTTGGCTGCAAGAAAGAACATCTGGTTTACTTCACCAATAGAAATATCTCTTAATGCTGGAATGGCCTCCTCTTGGTATTTCTTCTGCTGTTGATTTTTAGAATAGCTATCTGTAAGAAAAGACCAAAAAGTTCTGTTTACCCAAGCAATTTCTTCTACAGTCTCTGTGTCTGATGGAGACCCACCACATAGTTAACTAGGCCGATGTTTGGATAGTGACAAACATCATGTTTAACATAATTAAATGATAAATCCTGTCTTTAGAAGAAATGTCCCTATTAAAATAAAAACATAATTGGTAAAGTATTTTTTTATCTCTAACTTGGAAAGAAATTAGTATTTTAATCAACTGTACAATGATGATTAAAGTCTCATTTGCACATTTCTCATGGGAACAGAATTATATCCAGGCCTTGAAAATGTATTTAAATCAACACCACAAAACTATTAAATCATTTGGTATAAATATTCATGCAAACTTAACAATTTCCCCTCTTTGCACAAATTATCTATTTGCTGCCAATTCCAATTAAGAATGCATGGAATGCAGTGTATTAGAAAGACATTTAAAAATAATAGAATTGATTTTCGAAATAAATTGTAGAGGCTAATAAAGGTTTTGAAAAGTTGAAAAATCATACCAGGGAACTTAAAAAATACCTTACTTTCTAGAATTTAACCAAGCTCAGGAGTCTGATTTATTTTCATCTTTAGACTTGAAAGAACTTAAAAAAATATATAAAACCAGAAGAATGTGTTGTGGCTCTTTTATCCACCTAATTGGAATAAGGAGTACACAACGATCCTGAGGAGGATACACACCCCCAAAGTCCTTTTTCTGAACAAGGTCTGCATGTACTATTTGCTATCTCTTGATCAACAGTGTCCGTTCAGGATAAAAGAAGTTTCTCTCAGGCAAAGTTAATGGGAACGTATTATAGACACATATAGTATATACTTGCCATTTTATGGGAACATACACCTGCTAACCAGTGTTATAATTCATTATAATTTATTTCCTCCATGAATATAGCTAGTGCATATTCATCAGAACTTAATTCCTTCATGCAAATATTTCCTTTTGTATAAGTTTGTATTTATTTCTCTTAGTAGCTTCTTTTTACTGTCCTAATGTGTGTGTATGTGTGTTCTCTTTTAGGATGGCGTTTCATTCTTGTCGCCCAAGCTGGAGTGCAGTGGCACGATCTCGGCTCACTGCAACCTCTGCCTCCTGGGTTCAAGAGATTCTCCTGCCTCAGCCTCCCAAGTAGCTGGGATTACAGGAATGCACCACGACCATGTTATGCAGCCTGTTCTTTGTTGCTTTTCTGGGTAAAAGTGCTAATACTCTACTCTTTCATTGCCCCAGCACTTTCCTTTTATATAAAGTTACCTGTGATTGTATGAATGGAGTCAAGTGGAGAGGTACTCATCATGTTAATCCCAAACAAGAGCACGTAGCCGATTACTATAGTAATAAGGAGGTAGACAGGTAATGCAACTGCCCAATATCTGCCAAAGAGAATATTAAAGTACACAATAGACACTTTAAAAAAGCTGTAATTCTCAAGAGTCAGTCACAAAGCCAACACGTTTTTTAAATTTAAATTTTATAAAGTAATACGTGTACATAGAGACAAATAGTTCCACAACGCTTATAATGAAAAAGAGCAGTCCTCTATCCCACCATCTCAACCTCGGAGTCTCACTCTCCAAAAAGAAATGCTTTGAGCACTTGAGCTGTCTTCTGGTACCTACCTCCTCATTGTTACAAAACATGCTCATAGTACTATTTCTTCATTTTTTCCATTACAGACATTTTCTCTAGACTTGCTAATATGGAGATGAGGAATTAACCTCCTCCTATCCTCTTCTCTTCTCTACTTACATCACAATTTCTCATTATAGCAGCAGGTTTTAGAAATAATTGTAACTATATAAACAAGTTTGTAATGAGGATCTCAGTGCATTATTATTATATATTTTCTTGCACAACATTTTGGGTTTTTTTCTGGAATAATTACATCTTTTTGTCCGTTCACTTGGTTTTCCATGTGTCCACCAATACCAGAGCCTCAAATTCTCTGACAGGACTCTATTATGCCTCTCAGTATCATTATGTACATGGAGTGCTATTTATTTATTTTTTTTTGAGAAAGCATTTCCCTCTGTCACCCAGGCTGGAGTGCAATGGCACAATCACGGCTCACTAGCCTCAACCTCCTGAGCTCACTTCAGCCCTGCAAGTAGCTGGGACTATAGGCACACACCACCACGCCTGGCTAATTTTTAATTTTTTTTATAGAAATGGGGTCTTAAGATGTTGGCCAGGTTTTGTTTTGTTTTGTTTTTTAAATGATTTGTTCTCTATTATTTTCTCTTTCTGGAACTTCTAATAGTTAGATTTTTAACCATTATACTTTCTTCTGTTTTCAATTTTTTTGTTCTAATTTCTAGAGATTACCTTTATTTTCCAATCTTTTAATTAAAATTTTAATTTTGGTTGTTATGTTTACGATTTCCAAATACAATAATTTCCTGAACATTCCTTTTCCATAGCATTCTCTTCTTGTTTCATAGTTATAATTCTTTCTTACCACTTTGATAATTTTATGTTATTAAAAACTTTTTTTGTTTCCTGCATTATCTCTATTTCCTTCAAATTCCCTTTACTTTTCTGCTTTTTCATTTCATGCTAGAGGCTTTATTTTAATGTCTGGTAACTTAGAGTAGTCCATTCATATTTAAAAATGAAGTGCTAACAAGTGAGTTGGAGCACTATGTGTATGTGGGCAGGGATGGTCAACTGGTGAGCCTCACTCTGAGACTTGGCCACTTCACTGGGGTCCTCTAAATGTCAGAAATTATAGATCCTTTCTCTTGGGCTGGTCAGCCTCCTCAGGAAATAACTATCTATCTTTTTCTGTAAGGAGTAGGGTCTATAAGCCTGGAAGTCCCAAGAGGGAAGATGGAGGAGGAGGTAAACCTTCTCATTAAGCCATGCAGATTTCACTTACTTCCCTGTTTTCAGTAAGACGCCTCATTCCCACACCCAGACTAAGAAGCCCCCATGCTAGAGACTCTTACTCAACCTTGCCAGAGAGTAAAACTCCTGTTTTCTGCAGGGGAGGGCAGGGCGGGTCTCCCAGCTTTGAGGGATGAGAGAGGCAGATTTGAAGGCTAAAGCCTTTAAACATGCTTTCAGTCCAACCCAGAATTAAAGAGCTACCTGGTACCCCAATGTCTGAGCTATTCTGGAGTTCTAGGGCACAAATATTCTTGCTGGCTTCACTACTTCAGCAATGTGAAAATCACAGAAACAAAGGCAGTTACTTCTCACCTACCACAATCCACTTTCCAAAATGTGGTTGATAACTCTTTTCTGCTATCCTATTGTTTCTGTGGTTTATATCTTAAGTTTTTTTTTTTTTTCCTGTAGGGTCATTTTAACAAGATTTTTGGAGGAAATGGATGGAGATAAACATGCATGTTCATGCTACCATCTTTAATTAGAGAGGTATCAATAGCGATCTTTAAACAGTTTTCAATTTCGATATGGCTATTGATGAATTTTAGGAGAATAAATATTTAAGATTTGGATAGGTTTAAGAAAGGATATGAGTCCTCAAAATAGCATTAATTATATCCTCATTTAAGAAATATATTAAACTTACTTTTGAGGCCAATAGGTTAAACCTAAAGAGTTTAGCCAAGATTCAGGAATAAAGGCCCACACGAGGTAAAGTACTGTAGAAAAGAAAAGGAAAAAAAAAGAAAAAAAAGAGGGAGAAGTCAGTAAGACATATATCTAATCTATCAATCTATTAAGATTCAGATAAAACAGAAAGCTCTTTTGAAGTGTCTCTGATTCACTCAGAAATGATTTTTTCCTCCTCTCAGTTCTTCTAGCTCCTTGTTTGTACAATTCTTATAATACTTATAATTACTGTATTAGTCATTTTTTTTAACATCTTAACTTTCACACTATATTTTAAGCAATTCAAGGACACAAATCACGACCTAGCAATTGTTGTAATCCTTATTGCCTAGCAATTTGCTTTATGTGCAGTAAGTGTTCAATACTTCATCCCCACAAGGTTGAAGTAATTATAGACATTTAGTTGCTCAAAGGGAAATTTACCTATCCTAGTTCTCATCCACCACATGTTGAGCTTCTGCCTTATCTCCCAGAGTACAATGTTATTTTCCTTAATCCCAAATCTCTCCGGCACTCTTTACTGTTATCCCACCATAACAACAACAATGGCTAAGTTCTGAGCACTCACTGTGGGTTAAGCACAGTTCCAAGCATTCTGTACCCATTATTTAAGATAATTTTCCAAGACAATCCTCTGAGGCAAGTACGCAATTTTAACTGATGAGGAAATGGAAGCTTAGAAAGGATTCATCAGCTACCCAAGGTAAGCGGCAGAGACAAATTTTAACTACCTACTACATCAGTGATGATGCATTCTTTTCTTAACAAATATGTATTACAGAATTCTGTATGTCAGGAGTGTGAGACACAATATTGAATCCAAAAGAGATGGCTTCTGCCCTCCCTAAGCTAAATATCTAGTGGTGAATAGAGAAAACTGATATTTCCACTACATTGTGATAAGTGCTCATGAATGAGTAATAAAAGATGACGGTGGCTCACGCCTGTAAGCCCAGCACTTTGGAAGGCCGAGGCGGGCGGATCACGAGGTCAGGAGATCGAGACCATCCTGGCTAACACGGTGAAACCCCGTCTCTACTAAAAAAAATACAAAAAATTAGCCGGGCGAGGTGGCGGTGCCTGTAGTCCCAGTTAGTCGGGAGGCTGAGGCAGGAGAATGGCATGAACCCGAGAGGCGGAGCTTGCAGTGAGCCGAGATCGCGCCACTGCACCTACAGCCTAGGCGGCAGAGCGAGACTCCGTCTCAAAAAAAATAAATAAATAAAATAAATAAATAAATAAATAAATGACACAGAACCACATTAAAAGGCCCTCCTTCCACTCCGTATCCTCCTTCCCCTTGCTTAATTTCTCCCCATGGTACTTTATCACCTGATACTGTATACGTTTTTCTTATTTAATTTGTCCATTGACTATCTCCCCCCAGCGTTAGAATAAAAACTCTATGAAAGCGGGGCATTTTTGGCTGTTTTGGTCCTTCCTAGCCTGTAACAGTACCTGGCACATGGTAAGCACCAATAAATACTTGAATTACTTTTTGGTTGTGTGTATCATGGAATTTAATTTTTTTTTTTTTTTTTTGAGACAGAGTTTCGCTCTTGTTGCCCAGGCTGGAGTGCAATGGTGCGATCACTGCAACCTCCCCCTCCCTGGTTCAAGCGATTCTCCTGCCTCAGCCTCCCGAGTAGCTGGGATTACAGGCATGCGCCACCATGCCCGGCTAATTTTGTATTTTTAGTAGAGACGGGGTTTTTCCATGTTGGTCAGGCTGATCTCAAACTCCCGACCTCAGGTGATATGCCTGCCTCGGCCACCCAAAGTGCTGGGATTACAGGCGTGAGCCACTGCGCTGGCCAGAATTTAAGTCTTAAAGTGATTGCTTTTATTTATTCATATAGCTTCTAATCCTTGATACACTCTTTGAACAAGGATTTACGAAAGTGCTAACAATAACATCAGTAGCTAACACTTATTAAGTCCTTAACCGTTCCTAGGCATTATTTTACATGCTTTACATAAATTACCCCGGTTAATCCTCACAACAGTCAGAAGAGGCAGCAGAGTGAAGTCAGTCAGTGTATTTCGGTTCAAATTTAGAGGCCTATCATTTAGTAGCTTTGCAATCTTGAGCAAGTTACTGAAACCACAGGATGCTCATCTTTAAAGGACAATAATAACAGAACCTACCCCATAGAACTGTTTCATGTGTAATAAGCATTTAATAACCATCATTATCACTAACCTTTTACAGATAAGGAACCTGAGGTTCAAAAAATTTGCTGAGGGTCCCAGCTCACATGGGTAATCTGTGGAGGAGTCAGAATTTGAACTCAGTTGTAACTTCTTCACTTCATTTCAGTTGTAACAGCCTGGCCATTACATTCATCTGCAAGCTGTACTGATGGTGCAGGCTGATATATTTTAGTTAGGGGTTCAGAAATACTACCACTCCTCCACTTTCCTAGTTTCCAAAGAGTTGCAAAATGCTGGATCAGGGGCACTCAATTTTCTCCCTCTTGTGTGCCTCAAAATTCCCAAATCCTTTTGGGGAGAGACTTGGGGCTTGCTGTGTGACTGAGCATACTAGTGTCTCAGTGTGAGCGTCAGTCTCCGTATCTGTAAAACGGAACGTTATGGGGATTAAGGGAGATCCAGGACGAAAAGGACACACCTTTCAACCTGACTTCTCTGGGCTACTTCTTTTGTTCCCCAGATCGCTGCAGGGCACACTGGTGCCATACCAAGCTCCTCGGGTCCAAACCCTCTCACGCCCTCATTCACGGCCTTTCCACGTGAGTCGTCCCTCTCTCCTACTCTTTTCTAACCAGCATCAGTGCCAGGGGGAAAGGCATCTGTAAAAGCCTTGATTTTCCAGTCTGGTTTCAATGTCTCTCCACCGTGCTCCCCTGACACTGAGCACTAACTGTAGATTTACTCATCTGTCTCCTCCACAAGACCACGACCTCCTTAAGGGCAGGGACCAGGCTTTATTCACTTTGCCATCGCGTCTGGTGCTGTATAAATATTTGTAGAGACTAAAACCTCCTAGGCTAGTGCTGGCACACAGAACACTCAACAAACACGAGTTCCCTTCAGATTCTCTTAAAAAGAGACATAGGGAGAAAGAATCAACAGTTCATGTGTGCACAGTCTAACCAATGGATTCTTCCCTTGTCACTGAACGCCAGAAAAAGCCCCTGGCCATCCATCAGGAAAGTACTTACTGAAGCCAAACTGGGAGCTTAAGAAAAGAACAAAGCCATAAATCGCTCTTTCTGGCAATGGCGACGGTGAATTTTCCACCATTTTTCCTGGGGCTTTAGATAACCTGTGGAAAAGGAACACAATCAGCCATCAGCGAGGTGCTCCCCGGCACCACTGGTCCATTCTCGCCCCATCGCTCCGCCGCGGGCACGGCCCCCGCCGCGCAGAACCGCCTCCCGCGCCCCCGTCCGCAACCCGCGCCCCCGCCTCGCGCGCACACAGGCACCCGGGCTGGCGCGCGCCCCGCAACAGAAGGGGTGGCGGGGGATAGGGCAGCGAGAGGGGGTCAGGGGGACAGAGGCGCGCTCCAGCTCTGCGAGCATCGTCTCCCTGTGGGAGGGGAGGGCAGAGAACAAGGCTCGCGCGGCGCCCACCAGCACGCGGGCCTACTGGGTCGCGGCGCCCAGGCCCCGGGCCCTGCCCTCTGGAGATTTATATTTCTCATTCGAGGCAGGGTATGGGGGGGCCCTCGACCTCGGGTCCTTCATATGCCCACCCGGGCCCCTCTCGACACCTCGGCCACCTCAGCGCTGAGTTCTCTGCGCAAGCGCCGACCAGGCGCCGCAGTGGGGGAGAAAAGAGGAAAACCTGAGGGAAAGGCCTAGGCGCAACGACACCCCCACCTTGGCGCAGGCGCACGAGGACCCTCCCTGGGTGGGAGCCGGGCAGCACGAGGTCGGCGTGATCCCGCGAATCGCCACGGCGAAGGAGGGGGCGGTGGGGTGCGACTGCGCAGGCGCGCTGCCCGCCCACGTGATGCACCTCCCTTCGGCGCAGCCGCCTGCTCCCTCCCGCCGTCGGCTGACGTGGAGAGCCGGAGGTGGTGGCGGCGGCGGCGGCGGCGGCGGAGGCTGCTGCCTGCGCCGAGGCTCGCGGGCGGCGGGCCCGGGTGAGTGCACACCCGGCGCGCGGCCGGGCTCCCGGATGTGTCACCTTGTCCCGCTGCAGCTGAGATGCCGGGGAAGCGGGGCATTCCACACCCCCTCCGTGGGTGTGTGGTGAGTGTGGGTGTGTGCGCGTCGCCCCGCGTTCCTCGCTGCGGTGCCCGCTGTGTGTCTGCGTGGGTTGGGGCCCCGCGCGATGAGGGGGTGTGGCCGCTATTGCCTGCCCCAGTGGGTTTGTCCCCTTGGTCTGGTGCCCTTTTGCGAGCGAGGCCCTGGGATGCCGGTGCGAGGGTGGGAGTAGTCCCTTTGTGCGCATCCCCCCGCTGCCTGTGCCTCGGCCGGTGCGTGGCTGACACCCCCCGCTGGGTGGAGGGGCCCGCGCTCGCGTGTCGCCTCGTGGCCCCCTTTGTGTCGGTGTCCGCGCTCCCTGGCGGCTGCGGGGGCGCTCTTGGCCTCGCGGGTGGCTCCCCCTTTGTGTCACCGCCCATGTCTGTGGGCTGCGCGTCCCCCAGCGCGCGTGACCGCGCCTCCTGTAATCGCGACCCCCGCGTAGAGCCTTGCTCGCGCGAGTGTGCGTCCTCGCGTGTCTCCGAGTGTCCCCAGAGTGTCTGCGCATGGGTCCTGTCGAGTGCGTGATCTCATGTGTGCGGGTTTAGTTTTGTCGAGTGGGTATCTCTTGTGTGCGGGTTTCGTTGGTGCGTGTTCGTGAACGTTCGTGCACACCCCTTGCTGTGTGCGTGTGTTCACGACTCTGTTGTCACCTGTTTTCGTGTGAACTGGCAGTCCAGTCCAGGGCCTGTCCCTACGGAACGGACCCAGGAGGGGGGTAACCTCGCCGCTCCCCTCGCCCCCGCGCCTCTTTCTGAGCATCTTCCCCCACAGACGCTAAAGGGAAGGGGGGTGGACAGGATCGAGTCTGGCCAGTTGCTCCGCAGTGTTGACGCTGCCAGTTGCTCCGCAGTGTTGGCGCTACCAGTGTGTCCTCTTCAGCCAGCCTGTTCAGGGCACAGAATAGAGGGATCAAAGATAAAAAATGGAGCCAAGACAGGTGAATTTGGGCTGGTACCAGTTCGCCGTGCCTTTTCAAACAGGCACCCTGGACGTCAGAACCCCCTCAGTTGCAGAGACCTTTCAAAATATATGCACACGCCTGCTGGGCGACGCCGTCCTTAGCCGTTCTTGATGATATTTAATGGTTTATAGAGTATTTTATGGCATTCACCTAAATCTCTTTCCATTTTGCCCAACATCCTGGCGAGGGAAACGAGGTAGAAATCTTGCAGATTTTACTCCTCCGGAGGGAGCCTTTTCCTTATAACTACGACTCTAGTTAGGACATTTTTTTGTTGCAAGAAATTTGCGATTTATCCTAAGGAAAATGGGATATATTATAAGGATACCTAGGGTAAGAAACTTCAAACCCATTAGGGAACCAGCTACTGCTCCGTTTGCTCAAGGTTTCATGCTCTGCGCGCAAGGGCTGCGTTTTGGTGTCTTTGTTCTGCCCAATTTTCTTATTGTCTAATTTTCCTTTTTTTTTAAAAAAAATTTTTGGAATATTTCAGATATCAAATAGGGGGGAGCTAACCAATCCGTGATTCAGATTTTACAGACGTGATTATTTAATATTTTGCCAAATTTACTTCAGATTTTTTTTAAAAGAAATAAAATTGCTCTCAGTTCCTTCCCCTCCTTTTCTAGAGATAGCCACTGCGTTGAGGTTTGTGTATATCTTTACTTTGCATATTTTATACTTTGATCATGGTGAATCCACACACAATATATTCTATTGTTTATAAACTTTAATGGTATTAAAATATACATGCCTTTTTGCAACTTGCTTTTTTTTTTGGCTCAGCATCATATTTTGAGGTTGATGTATGAACAGATTGAATAACTGTGATATCTTTGGTTCATTCATTTTAATTGCTGGTATAGAATTGCATTGTATGAATATACCATATTTATTTATACATTCCCCTGTTGATAGACTTTGAATTTGTTTCGGTTTTTGACTCTTAAAAACAGTCCTGCAATAAATATCTTTGTACTTGTCTGCTTGTGCACACATTTGGAAGTTTTCTGTAGGAAATACAACTAAGTAGTAGATTTGCTGGGTTGTAGGCTATGTGCATCTTCAACTTAACCAAATATCACAGAAGCTCTCGAAGTGGTTGTACCAATTTTCACTGTCACTGGTGTTGAGTGAGAACACCATTTCCTCACAACCCTGCTAACACTTTATATGTTATTAGACTTTACATTTTTGCCGTCTCTTTACTGACCAGCTTCCTTATGACTTTTGGTTGCTGCTAAATTTGCTCGTAGCCACCTTGGCTTCTTTTGTAGCCCTGTGTCAGCCTATGGATTTATCTCTTGCAGCTAATTGGCTTAGTCTTTATCTCCTTTGGTTCTCATAAGAGTAATTCCAGTGAACATTTATTGTATACCTAATGCATGTCAGTTCCTATGGTTGATGTATAGATAGAATTTTCATGATATGTTAAATATGTACCTCTTTAGTGGCAGACGAGGTGATTTAATTAAAAGTATTTTTTTCATATGATGAATGTTTAAAAAAATTTTTCTTTTCCTCTCCATTTTATTGTAGTATTTGATAAATTCAAAATATATGTAAAACATATGCAAGCTGTATAGCAAAACAATAAAATGAACATCTATGAATTCACCACTCAATCCAATAATCAAAATGACCAATATTGAATGTGCTTACTTCCAGAGGTGACTACTATCCTGAATTGTGTATATCATGCCTTGTTTTTAAAAATGATTTTATCAGATATGTATACATCCCTCAAAAATGTATTGTATGGTTTCTGTTGTTTTTGAGTGGAAAAAAATCATATTGGGTATAGTTTTCTGGGACTTGCTTATTTCACTTGATGTTATGTTTCTGAGTTACTAATATTGGGTATAGATGTAAGTCATTAATTTTCACTGCTGTGTAATATTCCATGTGTGAATATAACACAGTGTGTGCATTCTTCTGTTGATGGGCATTTTGGTTGTTTCTCGGTTTTGCTGTTATGAAGATTCTTGTACATACTTTTTGGTTCACAGTTGTAAGAATTTCTCTAATTTTCACACTGGGGTATATGAGCCCCAGAGTAGTAATGAAGATTTGCTAAGGAGTGTGTGGGTACAAATAATGTTAATGAATCAGTTTCTAGATCATTACATTCCATAGGTACACTTTCCTAAAATTGGTAATGCTTGAGGCTTCCTGCTAATGCTACTTTCTCACCTTATGTTTCTAACATTGCTCTTTACATAAGAAAGGCAAACCACAGGTTCTTGTGGAATCTTACTATGGCACTGCCCTAAGTGGGAAAACTCCCTTGGGGAAAACAAAGGGATACTTTTTTTTTTTTTTTTAAGTGGAGTTTTGCTCTTTTTGCCCAGGCTGGAGTTTAATGGCACGATCTCAGCTCACTGCAACCTCTGCCACCCAAGTTCAAGTGATTCTCTTGCCTCAGCCTCCCAAGTAGCTGGGATTACAGGCGCACACCACCACACCCAGCTAATTTTGTATTTTTAGTGGAGATGGGATTTCACTATGTTGGCTAGGCACGTGTTGAACTCCAGACCTCAGGTGATCTACCCGACTTGGCCTCCCAAAGTGCTGGGATTACAGGCTTAAGCCACTGTGCCAGGCCTACAAAGGGATACTTTAAAATATCACTATAGTGTTAGGGAAAGCCTCTTTTAATCCTGGCACTTCCCCATCCATTTCCTTAAGAGATACATTTCCAATAAAGTTTCATTTTTTATGTTATCAGGGTATATTTTTTGGCCAACCGTATGCTGGTAATAATTATACATTTAAAAGAATGAGATATCAGTTTTACTTTAAAATGTTACTGTGATATTCTAGAAATTCAAATTCACCCTTTGCAATTATTTAATCTTATAGTGATATTTTTTAAATGTCATCTTAATGGGTAAAAGGTATGTAATTTTAAAAAGCACTTTTAGTGGTTGGCGAGCAAAAAAAAAAAAAGGGGGGGGGTGTTGGAATACCACCATGTTAATTTGTTCAGCAGCAAAAGCAAAAGAAAAGATAAAGAAATACTGCCATACCACTATAGTAAGCTGTTTGCTAGAAATGGGATTGCTAGATCAAGGGGTATGAATGATCAGCTTTACAAAATAATGTCAGATTGCTTTCTGAAGGGGTGGTATCAGTTTGTACTTTGGCCAGCAGTTTTGTCTGTTTGTATACTTTGATCAACAGTGTGTAAGAGTTACAGTTGATCTACAACCTCTCCAACACTTGTTATTGTCAGACTTAATATTTGCCAATGGAATGGGTATGAAATGATGCATTGTGGTTTTAATTTGCATTTTTTTGTTATTAATGAGATTGAGCATCTTTTGTATGTTTATGAACTGTCTTTGTTTCCTTTTTATGAAATATCTAGTCATATATTTTACCCTTTGTTCTGATGAGTTGTCTTTTAAAACGGATAAACTGGTAACATTGATTATGTGCATTGTAAATATCTTCTGGTTTGTGGCCTGTCCTACTCTTTATGGTATATTTTGGTGAATAGAAGTTCTTAATCTTATCATAATCTAATTGGAACCTTTCTTGCCTTGGGCTTATAAAGACATTCCTCTATTTCTTTTTAGAGGTCTTAAAATGGTATCTTTTGCAATTAAGTTCGTAATTCATCTGGAATTGATTTTTGTGTATGTTGTGAGATAGTGATCCACATTCATTTTTCCTGTGTGGTCCTAATTATCCCTGTACCATGTATTGAATTGGCCCTCTGTTCACCAGTGATCTGCTGTGCCATCCTTTTACATGTTTAGTTACTACCTGCATGGGTCTGTTTTTGGCTTGCCTTTCTGT